GTATGGTAGAGTAGGCTGGGCGTTGTGCGCCAGACAGAGAGAGCGACTCTGGATACTGTGTTGGTGTGGCCTACGGGCTTGGACATTCCCTCAATACTTCATTGTCTTGCTCTTTATGGATGGTTTTCTCGGTGCATTTGTACTCTCTAGTTGGGATACTACTACTTGCTCAGCGCCCGACCTACTGCAATCAATCAATCAATCAATCAATCAAGAAAAAAAAAACGAACAGAAAAAAAAAAAAAAATTCCAATCGAATCAGTGGATTTAATTGGATCTTGATATTCGATATCAAGATCCAATCGAATCCACTGATTCGATTGGATTTTTTCTTTTCGTTCTGTTCGGTTTTTTTTTTTTTTTTTATCAATCAATCAATCAATCAAGGAAAAAAAACGAACAGAACGGAAAAAAAAAATCCAATCGAATCCACTGATTCGATTGGATTTTTTTTTTTTCGTTCTGTTCGTTTTTTTTTTCTTGATTGATTGATTGATTGATTGATCAAAAAAAAAACAAAAACCGTGACCTCTCCACCTCCTCCCCCCTTACTCTCTTACTCCTCCCTCTCCTCCTCGTCCTCGTTTGCCTCTTGTTCGTCGTCGTCGTCGTCGTCGTCCTCCTCCTCCTCCTCCTCCTCCTCCTCCTCCTTCTCGCCATCCTCCTCATCCTCCTTCTCGCCATCCTCCTCATCCTCCTTCTCACCATCCTCCTCCTCCTCCTCCTCCTTCTCGCCCTCCTCCTCCTCCTCCTCCTCCTCCTCCTCCTCCTCCTTCTCGCCATCCTCCTCCTATCACTGAGGATGAACGTTGATCTGTAGTTCGACATTGGTTGGGGTTGATCATTGATGTCTAGCATGTATTGGGATCCGAGCAACCAATCAATCAATCAATCAATCAATCCTACTATCATTCAATCAAACGACCAATAGAACCGCGGTTTTTCTTTCTATTTGTGCAGGTTATGATCGAAGGCAGTAATGCAGATGCTGGATTACGTGTGACAGAGATATACATAAAGATAGATAGATAGATAGATAGATAGATAGATAGATAGATAGATAGATAGAGATAGAGATAGAGAGAGAGAGAGAGAGAGAGAGAGAGAGAGAGAGAGAGAGAGAGAGAAAGAGAGAGGTGGTTGTGTGATGTCCCGACCAGGATCACGAGGGAGGTTCACCAGCCTCCTGGACGGGGAGGCGCCTTTCCAGGAGGCCGATGAGAGTCAACAGCGCTGGCTGCAAGGGAAGCATGCGGTATGGCAATGGGTGCGTCAGGGGCAAGAGGTGGGAGTGCGAGGAAAGGGGCAGTACAAGTTGCGTTGCACGTTGTGCAACCACATATGGGTTGGGGCGCGGACGAAGGCAGAGGACCACTTCACCCGCCCGGCTGCGCACTGCACATTTCGTATAGGAGGGATTTTGTACAAGTTAATGAGAGACGAGGTCTCCATCACGGACCCCATGGGGAGGGCTATGGCAGAGAGGCACATGGATGTCCGCGAGGTGGAGTTGGAGATGGAGAACCTGCGGAGGGCCGATGACGCGGCCACCCCTGCTGCACGCATGGCAGATGACCGGGCTGCTGACCACAGAGAGGAGTCGGGAGGCCGAGGGGCGGATCCCCCCATGACGGATGAGGGACGGGTTGGTGGTGTGTGCGCAGAGGACGAGCTCATTACACTGAGAGAGAGGATACGAGTCCTCGAGGCGGGGCGACAGCCGGCCCGCTCGGATGGCACTTTACGACAGTGTTCGAGGCGGGGAGTGGACATGGCGTGGCTCAGGACGGAGGGCACATCTGGCCCACCGGGCGTCGCCGTGCCCCATGATCGTCAAATGCTTGTGGGCAAGAGCGTTGTTCAGGGCTGGGGTACCTTTCTCGTTTATGCGCCTCGAGACCACGCAGGAGCTGCATGACTTTATGGTGTCATTGATGCGGGTGACGATTGGGCCAGCTTTGGTCCTACCCTCATACACAGACATGCGCACACGGCTCCTAGATGAGATCTACCACGAGATTGCGGAAACAGTTGTGTCGAAGAAGGCGAAATGGAAGCTCACAGGGTGTACCATAATGACAGTCAGGGCTACAATGAGGTCTTACAAGCCCGTCGTCAACTTCATTGCAGCAGGCGAGGACGGGTCAGTCTTGATCACCACCGTCGACATGTAAGGAGAGGGATAAGACTGGTGTGGCACTCGCGGATTTGTGGGAGGACATCATCCGAGATATTGGCGTTGACTTTGTCAATTCGTATTGCACTGACAATGCTTACGCCAATAAGGTGGCTGCGCAGCGGTTGCAGGACCATCCCGATAGCGCCATCTCTCGGATCCTTTGGCTCTCCTGTGCGGCCCATTGCCTGAGTCTCCTCCTTCGAGACATCATGTGCTTCCAGTGGGTGCGCCCTATTTTGAAGAACACACACAAGGTTGTGATGTTCTTCAAGAACATTCAGAAGGCCCTCACGTATCATCGCTCCTTTAAGGGCCGAGGGCAGCTAAAGCTGATCCGACCATGTGACACACGGTTCAGGTCAGCATTCCAGATGGTGGAGCGCCTTACCGATCAGGAGCGCATATTGAGGGATGTTGTGGGCAATGTGAGATGGCGCTCCACCCCGTGGAAGGGCAAGGCAGCCCAGGATGAGCGCCCCGTTCAACAACTTGTGATGTCCGACTTGTTTTGGGAGATTGCGCACCACGTACAGGATGTCATGCAGCCGGCGTATAGTCTGTTGCGTGACATGGATAGGGACGGTTCTTCCCCCCCCACCCTGTGGGGGTTTGTGGACAGGATCAGACAACGAGTTCGCGACACTGGTCTTTCTGAGGAGGAGGAGACATAGATTTTGGACAGCGTGGAGTACCGTTGCAACATGATGCGTCAGCAAGCGCCCGCGCTCGCATACCTGGTGGACCCGCGACGACGAGATGTGTCTTTGTTGGCGGATACTGGCAGCACGGTTGTGCAGAGTGCGCTGGATCATTTGTCTAGGTTCACTGTCGATGGCCCGGGGTCAGAGGAGCACGGCAAGTTGTGGTTCGCTTTGTACTTGTTCCACCACGATGATCCCCACACGAGCCCCAGACCAAAATGGTGGACGAACGACAAGGTGAAGGCGGACGCGGGGAGGATGCACCCCGCGTATTGGTGGTATCTGCATGGTGGCGACTTCCCGCGTTTGCGGGAAGTTGCCATCAAGGTGCTCGCTATGTGGTCTATTGCATCTCCTTGCGAGAGGAATTGGGCCTCACACGACTTCATTCACTCGAAGAGGCGCAATAAACTTTTGAGTGACAGTCTGCGGAAGCTCGTGTTCATCCATTGGAACATGCAGCTTCTGCGAGCTCAGTCGGGTCCCAGGAGGGGTTTCGTGGATGTTTGTGAGGATATGGTGGAGGATCCGCCGGAGCCACAGGTCGGCGCTGCCTCTGAGGAGGTGTATGACGACAGCATAACGATCCCTGAGGAGGTGGAGACAGAGATTCGTAGTCGGCGCAAGGAGGGGGGGGATCGTGCTAGTGCACGACTATTGCAGGGGCGGGACTACGAGGATGAGGACGAGGAGGACGTCATTTACGAGGCGGATGACGTCTGGGAGGGGAAGGACATGATCGAGGAGATTGCGGCAGCAGGGAAGGGGAAAGAGGTAGTGCGTGATGACCCTCTCGTCTCTCGTGTGTGGGACAGATGGGGGGGCCTTGACATTGTGGATGACCTGGACGGCTACCTGCACGGCTCCAGACACACCCTTCATATGATGAAGGACATTCACGAGTGTCGCAGACTAGATGAGGTGAGTGCAGGGGTTCAGCAGGACCGTCGTGTGGATACGGGCTTTCGTGCGACCACCTTCGACGGTGCGGCAGACTCTAGTGCAGCTACCACAGAGGTAGGATCGACACGCACGGCGGAGGTGGTAGCCCCCCCCCCCCCGCTGCTCCATCGTTTGGTATGCCATCTGTTGTTGGGACAGGAGCGGATCATTGTGATGCCCCTGTCCCGGGACGTGTAGCACAACAGCCATGTCCCGCCGTTGAGGAGCAGGGGAGCGCTCCTGTTTCTGAGGAGCTGGGGAACGCTCCTGTTATCGAGGAGCGTGTGACACATGCCACTGTTTTAGAGGAGCCGCATCCCGTTGTCGAGGATCAGTTGACAACTCCCGCTGCGGAGGATTTGGAGGACGCTACCGTCATCTCTGGGCAGCAAACTAGGTTGGACGGCAGGGCGCGAGAGACAGAGGGGGTTCCCACATCGTTGTCGTCCCCAGCGCGGCATGACCCATCTGCGTGTATGGGCACGGATGATACCACCCTTGCACCCTTCCATTCAGAGGTGCCCATTACTATCAGGGAGGCTGTGGCAGGACATCACACTGGGCACCCATGTGTGATGGAGACAGCCACACACACAGGTATTGTGCAGCAGGAGGGAGCTGTTACGGATGAGGGGGGCCACGAGACAGACATAGAGCCCCCTTCCACGGTCGAGGAGGTTGCTCCCACATCGGCAGAGGCGTACATTAGAGAGCACGGAGCCGCACACAGCGACAACGACGATGACGATTGGAGGGAGTCCTGGAGCTGGGATGACTTCCGCTGCACTTCGGCCTGTGTCATTCTATACCGCTCCCTTGCTGCCTATCTTACATGGTCGTGCTATGGTCTGCGGACCCGGCTTGACTCTTCCCCCTCGTACATCGTCTCCTACTCCCACGACGCCTGTTGGGCGGTTGTCGTCATCCATGAGCATAGCAGCACAGCATTCGCAAGGCAGTCGAGGTGTTCCATCGCTGGCCCCAGTGGCTCGCAGTCATTCGGATCCTGTGTGCAGTGGACCGGTCGTTTCAGTTGCGGTTCCTCCACTCCCTACTCGAGTGTCGTCTGCCATTGTTGACAACACTTCAACGAGAGGGAGGAAGAGGAAGGCCCCTGACACACGTGGGCAAGAGCAGCCACAGAGAACTGCAGTGCAGGGTAGACCACGCGGGCGCCCCCCAAGGGGTCGATCGGGGAGGGGTAGAGGGAGACAGGGCACCGTAGGAGCAACAGAGAGGTTGTTGGGGTCGCTCGGTGCTATAGGGGGCGGGTCACCAGCGCCCATATCCATGCATGGAGTGAGGACTCGTTCTCGTGGTGCTGCGGAAAGGATGAGGCGCGTCGAGATTCAGGAGGACGACGACGATGATGAGCAGGGCAGTGGTGACGGGTCGGAGAGCGAGTACGAGGCTCCGTCACACTCCTCAGATGATGACGACGACGCAGATACTGGAGGGGACGATGTTGACGCCCAGTAGGCTGACGAGGTCACGATGGTCGAGGACTACTGCTGCTGAGAGAGAGAGAGAGAGAGAGAGAGAGAGAGAGAGAGAGAGAGAGAGAGAGAGGCATGTGTGTGTATGTGTGTGTGTGCGTGGACACGTTTGTGTGAGAGAGAGAGGTAGGTGTGTATGTGAGAGATAGAGGTAGGTTTGTGTGTTTGTGAGACATACAGGTAGGTGTGTGTGTGAGAGAGAGAGAGGTAGGTGTGTGTGTGTTTGTGAGAGAGAGAGGGGCACATATGACTTGCACTTGGAATGTTGTGTATGAGAACATGACTTAGGCTTTAAGTGTGCTTGTGTAGACCTTACACTCTGAGTGTGTGTGTGGACCAGACTTTGGCTTCCAATGTGTGTATGTAGACCTCGCTTTAGCTTTYAGTTTGTGTCTTTGTGTACTTGACTTAGGCTTTCAGTGCGTGTTTGTGTGGACCTCACTCAGGCTCTCAATGTTTGTGTGTGGTTGTGAACCACACTTTCAGTTTGTGTTTGCTGCATATCAACCTTACTTTGCCTTTCGGTGCTCCTGTGGACCTTACTTGGGAATTCAATGTACCTGACTCGGGCCTTGTATGTACATGTGTGACACTGTGTGTGTGTGTGTGCGTGTGTGTGTGTGTGCGCGCGTGTGTGTGTGGTTATGTGCGCGTGTGTGTGTATGGTGTATTGCCTCCACTAGTGCTTGCACTAACGGTGCTAATATTCTTGACCGTCTATATCTTGATTTTGACGACACGTCTTGCTTTTGGGCATCCTTCTCTTATGGCCCTTCATAACTTCGCCCTTGGGAAATCACCAGTCCCCTTCACTTGTCCCGCGCTAGTCCCCGACACTTGTTCCGCCAGCACTTGTCCCGTCCGTGGTCCCACCAGTACTTGGCCCCAAAATGCCATTATTTTTACTTAGTCCCCTATGGTCCCCGACACCTTTCCTCACGATGTCCCGATTTCTTTTGGCACTTTCTTCTCCATCGCCTCCCCATTCCTAGTCTTTTTCTACATCCTACGCGCGCAAATCTCTCCGGTCGAGGCCCTTTACTTGGCTCGTGGCCCTTCAGCTCTTCCTATGCTGCATCCTGGTGACCCCCTTAACCCGGGCTACGTTCTCACGTGTCGGTGCCTAACTTATTATTTTCTCGACCTCCTCGACTCTTTTCTTCCTGCGGCACACAACCCAGGACATTATTTTTCCCGGTGGTCGCCCTTTCGGGAAGAAGGGCCGCCTTTACTATGTTCCTACGGCCTTTCTCCGCTTGCTATTCTGCTAGTTTCATCTTTGTCCAGTGGTGCTGGCGGACCGGGGCATTCTCTAGGCCCCTAGGCGCCGACACTTATGCCTTAGTCTTTCATTCTTCCTATCTCTTTTGTCGCTCTGTTGTGCACAATTTTATCGTATATCATCTCTCAAGGGTCAGGACTTGTCTCGAGATCCACCGGTCCCGACACATTTCCCCCACTTATTCACGACGTCCTCATCTCGCATAAGTCAGTTGTTAGTGGGTGAAGCAGATAAGGGCGGGGGAGTGAGATATGATAGGTGGTTAGTTTGCGAGGGACCTTTTTTCAATCTTCCCCTTATGTCTTTCTTTTGTTGCCCGCTTTCCGACTTCCATAATTCGTGCTTCTTTCTCACGCTGAAGTCATCTCAATAATCAACTTTTTGGCCCATGCAATCCATGTTTCTGACCATTCTCAAGACATCATATAATCAACTTTTTGGCTTATGTAGTCCATATAGCAAGTCATCTTTTCCCCCCACTCAAATGTGATGCCCCCCTCTTGCCTGACCTTTTGCATGTCAGAGGTTTCAAGTCTGATTTGTTCCTCTCTTTGGTCTCATCCTTAGCTCATCCATTCTCTTTGCCTTTTGTTCTCCCTTTCATATTTGATCTCGTCCAGTATCGTTGGCCTCTTTCTAGGCTTTCATACTCGTTCTTATGCAGTCTCTTCCCGTGTTTTTTATGATAATTTTGCTAGGTCTTTCAAGTCATTCTCAAATTATTTCTTGCGATTCCTTTCGCAACCCTTTGTTAAGCAGTTTCGTATACGAGTCTTCTTGATCATTCCGACAAAATTCCTTGGGTATGTTTTTAGACAATCTCTAAAAAACATTGTGAGACATTTTTCAAGTTCGAGCTCATTCAATCTTTACATGCATTTCTTCATTGAATCTTACCAGACCTTTTTCAAGTCCAGGCTAAATCATTTTCTCATCCATTTTTCTCTGACGTCTTGCAAAGTCTTTATCAAGCCCCAACTCTCTTGAGAAGGAAGAGGTTAGTCCCCGGAACGGTTGTAATGTTCCGACAAAGCGGTGTAAGTGCCCTGTGGTGGTGGCGGCCTCCGCCCGGTACCTCGCACCGACCTTCCCCGTAGACGGTGCCGCTTGACTTAATGCGAGCAGCCTAGGTTCATCCCAAACGGTCAGACCACCCCTCGACAGCGTGGCGTGTGGTTGGAGAGGGTCATCAAAACGTAGAAAAACAAACTATCGGCCCGTCTTAGCGCCATGGACGTTTTAGGCACTCAACGTGAGAAGCAATTTGAACCCTGCGGCTATAGCTCGTTGTCGTAGTTGGTTCCGGATGTCGAGTATCGTATCTGATACCTTGATCTTTTAACCTGGTATCCTACTTATGAGGAACAAGTCGCGCTTGGACATTTCCATATGGGGTAGAGGTCCCGGGGTCGTGGTGCAGGCACCAATATCCCCCTTACGCTGAGGCCTGAGACTAGAAGAAGGAGGAAGGCTCAATCTCTTGCTATTTCCATGGTCGATCCGGTGACCTCTTTTCAATGTGCCTAGGGTCCCCTCTTTCAATAGGCCACTTCTCATGATCGACCCATCGGTTCATCCTCAATCCTCTATTTTTTCTCACAAGTCATTTCTTATGGCTGACCTTACGGTCTTCCCAACCTTTCATCTTTCTCATTCTGACGCCTGCCTCTTTTGACCGACTCGTCGGTCCCTTCCCTTCTCAATCCTTTTTCTTTCGATCCTTATCGAGGTTGTTTCTTACAACCGTCCCGACGATCTTCTCAAGCCTTTCATCCTTCTCTTGCAGTCCTTTTTCCAGGCTATTTGAATCAGTGAAGCCATGAGCGCCTTAGCCTTCCGTTCTTCATATCTCTCTTGCCTCCTGTTTTCTCTCTTGTGCACAATTTTTTAGTATATCATCTCTCAAGAGTCAGGACTTGTCTTGGGACCCACCGCTCCCGACACCGCAAGCGCAAGCAATCAAGCAGCCATAAGCGCAAGCAGCTGCAAGCTGCCGCGATTGCAAACAGCCATGCCAAAAGCGCCAGCAGCAAGCCGCCGCGAGCAAACCACTCGATCGCAAGCCAGCGCATGCACCATGACCGCAAGCCAGCGCACGCTCCATGCCCGCTAGCCATCATCAATCTTATGCAAGGAATGACTTTGTCCCGCAGACCCAGTCTTTTCCCAGTGTCCTGCTCAGTGGCCAACTGGTTTTGTAGTTTTTTCCAAGCCCCATGACCCTACATGCTAAGGCACAGGAAGGGGACTCACTGGAGAACAGACTGGAACAAGAGGGGACAGCCCGGCCAATGAAGGAGGAAATCGAAGGACGGGATCAGGAAGGAAGAGGGGAAGGCCGACAAAGTTAGGGATACATAGGAAGAAGGCCATGATGTTAACCTCGGTCAAGCGGGCAATTAGAAGGGGGACAGAATGCCCCTCCTCTGTGGAAGCAAGTGAGTCTACCAAGAATAGAATGGCGCACTGCTTGATACCGAATTGGGAGGGACCGGCAATGACGATAACCGACCAGCGTCACCTGGCTAAGAAGTTGCGGGAGAAGTTGCAGATTCTCTAGAAGAGCATGCAAGGAGGTACTACTGGGAATGGAGTATCGGAGGAGGAGCAGGTGGATGGTCAAGAGGTAGTACAGGGGCAGGAGTCAATAGGAGAAGAAGTGGGGCAGGCGGGAATGGGGAGGGACACAGGGGTGAGCGAACACAAAAAGATACTGGAGGAAGAAAGATTCCATCGAGGAGAGGGAAAGCAGGAAACGGGACTGGTGTTGCTATCACCGCCCACTAAGGAATCGAAGACTACAGACTTGGGAATGGAGTAGGACGGGTCGGAAACTGCCCCTGCAAAGACTGAGGATGAGAGGAAGAATGGCGGCCCCCTGCACACCAGCCCAATGGCAAGGCCTCAGGTCACGACCAAACAGCTGTCTACATTGGTGAGGGAGGGCAAGTGTCATGTTTGCCCATTATTGTTCTAATGGGTGCCAGAGGGATTACGGGTGCTAACTTTCAAGCAGGAGCACCATTCTTTGCTCACATGTGTTATATGTCCCAGGCCGTGAGACACATCTGGACCGAAAGGGAGGTGAAGGAAGGAGTGAGGGGATGGCGAGAGCCAGGGTTTAGCGACCAATCGGTGCCCCCGGTCTCTGCAACTAGGTTGGAAGAGACAGGCTTTGTTGGTGAGCCTTACGTGGTGGTGTTCTACTTTTTTGCCGTAAAAAATAAAGCATCGGCCCCGTCCAACCTTCCCTATACGGAGTCTAGGTGGGGTCCATTTTCAAAGATGTTTGGGTCAACGGCAAAGCTGTCTCAGTACCTCATCGTGAATGGTCTTACCATGGAAGCTCTGCCACGACTCAGCACTAGGCCGCCATTGATGGCCAGACTTGATTTGATATACTTTCTTAAGAAAGAGGGACGGTGAACCGCGGGAAGAAGAAGAGAGCAGGACGAATTGCTAAAATAACGGAACAGTGGGGTAATGATAGGTATGGGGAGGATGTTGGAAACTTGTAATGAAGTGAATTTTAGAGCCATGGTGATCGCTAACTTGTGTTGATAATAGTGAGATCGAGAACCATGATGGTTGGAAATAAAGGAACAGTGGTAGGAATAGGGAGTGTGAGAGGAATGCTGGGTTTGAACTGTTATTGTTAATAAGGTGTAATTATATGGAAACCATGGAGGAAAACAGAACCTGGTTGGCAAAGGAAACCCTT